CCGTCTGAAGGCAATCCTGTATAGGGATCTTTTTTTCAATGTTTAATGTTTTGTGATGTCTTTATATATGTTGGAAGCTGTGCAGAGTGGCTGGGGCAGCCCAGTCAGATGGGTGGGGTATAAATAGTAAAACTATCACTATGGAATGGGACATCCCTATTTTCAATGGAGAAAAGTTGGAGGGCATATCAGTGTCTGAGCTGAATGACGGGGGTGGAGACACTCCTTCAGGTATGATACAAATTTTCACAGACTGTTCTAGAATAGGAGTAGTCCTCAAAATATGGTGACCCACGTTCTCTCTCCCCCTTCAAACACAGCTCACAAATTACCACTAAGGCCTGGCAGATGGCCTTGGCCTTGAGACTCTCTCCAGGCCACCTACCCCACCAACTTTGCCTCGCACTGTCCTTGAGTGTTTTTGCCTGTCTGGAATATGCCCTTGATTTCTGATCGTGGCTCTTGCTTGCCTGCATGGAGAGTAGAGTATGCGAATGTGTGAATTACAAAATTACTTGCCATCTTAAAAACGTCCCAGAGAATCAGTCCTAGCGAAAATCTGCAACATTCTCAACAACTCCCGGGGGGGAAAAACATCACAACCTAATAGCCTGAGTGTAACTATAACAGGGCTTTCTTGGTGGTGGTTCCTTATTTGTGGAGTGTCCTCCTTGTCAAAATGCATCAGTCTCCCTCCATTATTGGCTTACAGGAGGAATTTTAAAGCATTCCTGTTAAGCCATGCATATAAAGGCTGAAGGATACCATTACTGGCAACCATGAAAGTTTTAATGTTGAGAGTTTGTGGTTGTTTTTAGATGTTTTCAGATGATTTTTACGTGTTTAGTTTTGTTTATAAGTTACTGTGTCTTTTATGTCTTTTATTTATTTTTATTTTTTAATTTTTTATTGCTGATGTGTTTGTCACCTGAGGATCAACAATAACTACTGCTGCTACTCAGATGTTAAATCCCACAGAGTTCATTGGGGCTTACTCCCAGGCAAGTGTAAACATGTTTAGGATCAGGATGCAAGCATCCCCAATACATCCAAACCACAGTGACTTTTAAATTACCATTGTAAAGTTCTGAAGCCAATTATCCTAGCTTGAACTTTCCCGCTGTGTCGTATTTCCCCTAGATGCATCGTAGAGAGCACTTGAAAAAGTCTCAAATATCAGCATGTGAACTCCCAACCTTATAAAAATCACTGACATTTTATCACTCCTTCGGTTTTTCTAAAGCCGGCGATGGAGACATTATTTATGAGCTTTCTTGATAAAAGCTGTATTATGGATAGTCCATGTGAAAGATGCCTAAACTGAATTTGAGGTTGAACTCTCTTTCTCACACACACACACACACACACACACACACACACACAAACACACACACACATACGAGAAAAGCCTGGGACACAGAGTGAAGATACTGGAATAAAGAAACAAGAAAAGCTTTGCCTTCCTCAAACACCCTAAACAAAATCAAATGAATCAAGAGATCTGAGCTCAACTCCCCACCCCTCACTGTAACTCTACTTTTACAGAGCCAACTCCAACCTGTGACCAGCTGGACCTCTGTGCAGAAATAAATTAACTGGAAAGCCAAAACTCAGCTTTTGCAGTCAACTGGAAGAAAAGAGGATGAAGGTGTGACCTCTTTTCTCTTTAAAAACAACTTTGTGAAGAAACTTTTTTGTGAAGAAATAAAAGTAGTATTTACTTACATAATCCAGGTCTTGAAGCAGCAATTACAGTAACAAAATGAAGACAGGTTTATAACTATTTAAGTTACAAAAGTACAAAACGGAAGGTCAAAAATGATGTCTGAGCTGCAGAACGCATACATGCACATGTGGTCAGCTTGAAAGCATGATGAAAAAAAGAGAGGAGTTTGCCCAGGTAGGAAGGACGTAGCGTTGCCACTTCCTGCCGAGGCAGACAAAGGAAGTGATCTCACAGAGTTCTCTCTAGCAAATTTTACAGGAAAGCTCTGTGAGTCTCAGCCCCTCTGGCAAAACACGAATTGTTGGTTTGACTGCAATAATGTTCCACACTAGGAGCCAATGGGGAAAGCTGAGTTCAGGGTGAGGACCAAAGGTGGACAAACTATCGCAGAACAGCCATGACATGTTCCCCACCAGAGGTTCTACCCCTCCTCTAACACTCTGAAAGCAGACCACCTCAGTCAAATCAAGTTTGCCAACCTAAGGGACACACACTTCATCGTTTCACAAGCAAAAACAAGGGGAGACATGTTACACACCCGAATTCTCGCACCAAGAGTCCTTCCCCATTTTTTATTAAATTTATATATCACTTCTCCTTCAAAAAGCTCCAGGTGGTATACATAACTCCTCCCCTCCACTTTATCCTCACAACAAGCCTGTGAGGTAGGCTAGGTACCACCAGAGGCTGTAAGTATTGAAGTTTTCAAAGCTTGCTTTTCTTTTTTTACTGTGTCTTCCCAGATCGTAGTGAAGGGATGTTGGGGGGATATGTTTACATTTATGTCTTTGTTTGAAAAGGCAAGTGCCATGTTCAGGTGTACACTTCTAGGCCTAACCCTCATATGTGAAGATCTTCAGGGTGGATCTGTTTAAAAATACTCCTGATGAAGGTGGGAGAAGAAGAAGAAGAAGAAGAAGAAGAAGAAGAAGAAGAAGAAGAAGAAGGGTCTTTTTTGCAGTTGCCCCATGGATGTAGAATATTCTTACAGGACACAACTTACTTTATCTCCCTTTTAAGCATTCCAGGCAAGCATAAGCTGGCCAGTGTTCTTCGTGCTTATCATTTTTTGTGGCTTTTACTGCCATGGTTCACTAGTGATTTTATGTATTTTTTACACACACACACAAAAAGCCAGTGTTATTTGGTCTAAGCATTGTTGAGCTGGTTCTGAAGTCTGTTTGGAATCATTGTGCCCCAGCAAATATTAGAGAGGGCGTTAACAGACATTCAAAATAAGCTCTTTCTCTTTTGTGCATGTTAAGCAGATATTAGCTTGCACAAAGACCTTCTGGAAAGGATAAATGCATAATGGTAGATTCAGTCTGCACTGGGCTCTTCCTGTCCTAAAGTCACACCCCACCCAAAAAAAACACCCACCAATATTTGTTGCATTTCTCCAAAGCTATGGGTTCCCCCAGACCTGCTGGTTCCTCACACATGGGTGTTGCCAATTTGACTAGATAACTAACGGCATTCAAGTCGGAGCATTGGAAATAGATGGAATGATTTATAGCATCTGGGACATCAATGGCAGTACACAACTTGGGATTCTTTTAAGGAGATTGGGGCAACACTTCTAGTAAATACAAAAGCTGAAAAACCTATAAAATGTGCATCAACACAGACCAGCTGTTGTCGTATCAGACAACCAAAAAGTGACTGGGAATGTGGAAAACGTTAGATTTTAAATTTCGTGTATTTAGATCTTATCTGGCTCTGTTCTTCATTTTCCTGTTTTTATTGTTAATTATAATTCATTGTTATTGTTACTCATCTTGGAAGTCCTTGAGAAGGCCAAAAGGCAGGATAAAATTTTATTCATATAAATAAATTTGCTTTATGTGCACATTCCCCTTTGTCTGTAAAAACAGAGAATTGGAAAGATGAAGGCAAAAGCAGCCAAAAGTTGGATGTTGAATCCCCAGTGCCTATTATTTCCCTCTATGCTCTAGAGTTAGTTTCCCACTCCTCCTCTCTGGTGCAGAAATCTAGGGGTCAGAAACTGCAGGTGAGAAATTGCTGGTCAAAACTGCAATTTAGAACCAGGTCAAGTGGGAAGGGACGGGCTCCGTGCAGAATTTGGGGGTAGAAAGGATTCCAAATGGCTCTTTTTGAACCAGAATAAACGCTTGACAAGAGATGTGCAGCATTTAGGAATTCAATTGGCTCTCCTGGAACTCACATCCAAGTATGGGTACAATCTTTTACTCGCTTACCTAGGAGTAAGCCCCATTGTTTATTTATTCTGTTGTTTTATCGTTACATTAATAGCCCACCTTTCCTGCAGAGAACTGGGCGAGCGTGGTTCTCATCAGGTTATGCTGAGCAACTAACGGGCCCAGGGTCACCCCGTAAATTTCATGGCTGATCAATGAAGGCTCCTTGCCCTTGCACCCGCGTAAAAATGGTTGCTGCTTTTTAAAGTGCCGGGTCTGTCACTTTCCTCATTGTTATGTACTGTTTATATGGTGTTGGTTTGTATGTGTGTGTTTTTTAATTATGTTGTAAGCAACCCTGGGTGCTGTATTTACCCTAGAAGGGCAGAACATTGACTCTCAAAGAAATATGCAGAGGGATCGAACCAAATGTCTTCCCTCATTATTCAAACTTCCCTTTTTCTGGTTCAAAGAGAAACTACCCCTGTAGTGTTATTTGAGGACAAAGGTTCCTAACTCGTGGTTAAAGTTTGGGATGTTTTGATGTCATAATGATGATGATTATCATTATTAATTGTTGCTTTGTTGCTGCTGCTCTTTTTGTGCTAAAAGCCTGTGGTTCTTTGCTGTGATAATAACGTTGCTAAAAACTATCATTTTCGCTTATTATGATTATGGCTGGGATTGTGATCATTTGACATCGAGCTGAGCAGGGTCTGGTATGGTTTCAAATGTGATGGGGGGGGCGCGTGTTGAGATCCCTGCATTGGGAGGGCGGGTTGGACTAGATGACCCTCGGGGTCCCTTCCAACTCTACAATTCTATGATTTTCTAAGAAGCCACTTTCAGGAGGGAAAAGCCCTGATTTCGATTTCCAGCATTTTAAAATGCGACTCTGGAGCGGAGAGCGTGGAGTGCGTTTCGTTTCTTCCAAGCAAGCTTCCCTCGCTCGCCAGCATCCAGCGCTCCAACTCTCATCTAAAGGAAGCATCTTCCTTACTCGCGAGGAATGCCCCCCGCGCGTCGATTGCCCGGCAGAATCGTCAGCAGGTTTCGGTGCAGAGAAACGCACGTGTTCAGCGCAGCTCTCGCCGAGGCTTCAGAGAAATGCGCTTTGCTACCTCGAGACGCCGCGGATTGAACCGGGCACCGTCTGCGCGCAAAGCAAATGCGCTTCCACTGAGCCAAGGCTCTATATCATCCCGTCCCGTCGGACTGTCATTGATCAAAAAGAAGTCTAGCTCTCCCGGAGGTCCACCAGCAGAATGAGCAGCAGCACCCGCCTCCAGCAAGGCTGACCTGATCCAGAGTTTGGAAAAAGTGAAGTATCAACCGAAGCCCCAGCATCTAAAATTAGCTACCTGCGCCCCTGATCCCTCTGGTCGTTTGCCTCCGTCTAAACCATCCCTTGTGGAAATCTTAAGCTAGGAGCTCATCCACACAACACGTGGGACAGGTGGGAACGCGGAGATCTGCTCTTTCCACTAAACCCATCACTCTCCCGTCTCAATTTGTCGTGTTGGTTCTGAGATTTAAAATCATATTAAAAGGCTTACATCGCAATCTCTCCTTTCCTCTGTCGTGGACCCAAAAGAGGTCTCTTTCACCCAAGCTCTGACCTAGACCCTGACCTGTTTCTCTCCAAGCAAGGTGGTAAGGTAAGGTAAGGTAAGGTAAGGTGGTAACCACGGAGAATCATAAGAGCTGAAAGGGACCCGCAAAGGCCATCTAGTCAAACCCTAAATAATCCTTGAAAGATGGCCCAGCCAACCCTCCAACGAAGGAGACTGCCCACCACCTTTCGAGGAAGTCTTCTCCTACTCTGGGGCTGTGTAGGAAGAGGTACAGGGTGGCGCTGTGGTCTAAACCACTGAGCCTCTTGGGCTTGCTGATTGGAAGTTCTGCGGTTCCAATCCGCACCACGGTGGTGACTTCCCGTTGCTGTGCCCCAGCTCCTGCCAACCTAGCAGTTCCAAAGCACGCCTGTGCAGGTAGATAAATAGGTACCGCTGCGGTGGGAAGGTAAATGGCGTTTCCGTGCGCTCTGGCTTCCGTCACGGTTAGTTTCTGGTTAGTGTGTTTGCTAGGCTTTGGGGACGTCTTGATCCTTCACACTTAGGTTCTTGGACGCTTAACTAGATGTGGGTGCTGTGTAATACCCGTCCAAAGGTGGAGAACTTGCAGCCTGCCATATGTTGGACTACAACTCCCATCAGCCCCTAGGAGGCTGATGAAAAACTTTCTGACAGTTAAAGTTGTTTGATAGCGGAACAGTCTCCCTCCAGAGGTGGTGGACTCTACCTCCGTGGAGGTTTCTAAGCAGAAGTTGGACGTCCATCTGCCATGGATGCTTTAGTTGTGATTGCAGGGGGTTGGACTAGATGACCCTTAGGTCCCTTCCAATTTTATGATTCTGTGAACATATAGAAGGCCGCATATGTTTCCCATCCTTCTTGTAAGTCCTTCTCTAATTCGTTTTGGGACGGGAGTGGGCACAAACTTTGAAATCGTAATGATCAGAAATAAGGAGCTGGTGTTACAGATTCAGTAGGAAATTCTATCTTTCTAAATAGATACAGTATAGGAAATATCTATCTTTCTAAATAGATACAGTATAGGAAATATCTAACAGTAGCAAATTATTTCTCTCCTCTCCTGCATCATTGCAACATTTACTCTTTCCCGCACTCCGCAAGGGAATTAAGCGATATCCTTCTTTCATCCAACTGAAAAATGCCCAGCGATGTATTGGTTTACAAGCGACCTAGCAGCGAATAAATTCGGAAACTACGGAACTTTTCCTTCCCCAGAAAGTTACAAATTGCAACCACTTCTTCCAATATGCATTTCATTATCAAGTTCTCTCTTTTAAAGGATGCTTGACTTCTTTTTTAAATTGCTTTTGCAAAGTGTAGAAAGCCACAAAAATAATTGATCAGATTCTGCACGACCAATTTTATTATTTAATCTCAGACGAGATCGCATTATATTCACACACCCCTTCCCCCACTCTTTCTTCCAGGCAAGAGACGTCTTGTTTGTCGCTGATTTTAATTGTTTTATCTTTTTTTAAAAAAACAAAAAACAAAGTGCAATGGCATTGTACTGGTCTTGCAAAGGATGTTGTTACTGCTGTTCTCTTTACAAACCGAACGGTTTTCATATAAATTAATAAAAGGTTAAGATGCTAATACAATGTTATCATTAGCTTTTAAAAGAAAAGGGGGGGATGGGCAGTCTACAGTGTTCGTTATTATACAGAAGGGGGAGACCAATACTGTACTCCACATTTTTCAAAGTCAATTACAGTAACTAAAACGAATGGGGGAATTTCTTTTTGAGCAGGAAGAAGTTGGAACATATCTCCACAGCAAATTTAATACGCTTTTTTTCTGGGAACAGGTAAGGTCAACCATTTAAAAATATTCATCTCTCCCAGGCCTGCTTCCAAAAAACAAAAAACAAAAAAACCAAACAAAAAAATTAAATTTAAATTAAATCAGATGCTAGTAATTAAATAGCCTTATTGGCATCTGGCGTAAGGAACATTTTATGCTTGGCAAACAGCAAAAGAGATCATTAGCTTCATTTTCTAGGACTCAATTAAAACTGAGGGGAAATAAAGGAAAATTTGTAGCCATTCACTTGGAAGAATATCTAGATGAATTCAAAGGAACTCGCTTCCAAGGAAGTGTGCAGGGGAGCAGAGCGACTAAATTCAAATCTGAGGCTGCGGCCAACTGTGCAAATGCCAACATTACACAAAATTCTGCTTCTGTCTGATGAAGACTCCTGTGTGACCCTCAAACTTGCCTAGTCTTACACTGACAGAAGACGATTCGCTGAAACGAAACTGGTTATATTTCCTTCCGTCTCCCTTTTCGGAGCCCCAACTCTGGCACCGATTAGAAATATTGCGCAGCCAGCGAAAGAGAGGGACAGAAGAACAATTATGAGCTATTTCAGAAAATAAATCCCTACCTGCTTTCATATGCCACAAATCTCACTACTGAAACCGAACGAGAAGGACTTTTAGAAGCGAGCTTTCCCCCAATAAAGCCACACGGAGGAGTAAAGGAAATGCAAACAGCCAACGCACTCTTTCTAGGCGCGCGCACACACACACAGACACTCAAACGAACAAGAAACCAAAGTATTGTACACGTTAAATATTCACAGTCAAAGAAGTCCGCTCGCTTTCCCCCCCATTATTTACAGAGTCGCCCACGGATGTAGTTCTGAGTCTGGCCAGCAGGGGGCAGAGAGGAGAGAACGAAGTTGGCCGTCGAGCGGCGCCGATCCCCTTTGCGGAATCAGGGAGGGAAGCGGGGGCCGCACAGCCGGCCCGCCGACAGTCATTCCCCACCACCACCACCAGCAGCAAACAAAACTGAAACACGTCGGGGAACCTCTTCTCCTTCTTCTCTGGGTAGAAAAATAGATCTGTACATCTGTCTGGAGGGGGTGCAGGGTCGTGGAAGAAGCAGCCGTCGGGGATGGATGGATGGATGATATCGGGGCCCCTCGGTCTCGTTCTGCCGGGCGGGATCTCTGCCGTCTAGGAGGATCCCTCGTTCTCCGAGGTGTGAAGGAGGAGGCTGGCGCTGGCGCCCCCGGTCTTGTGCTTCTTCAGCAGCTGCGTGATCTTCTCGTCGTCCGAATTGGGGTCCAGGGGCTTGTTGTAGTCGTCGTCGTCTTCCTCGTTCTCCGAGGCGCCCTTCAGCCGCTCCGTCTCGGAGTCTTGCTTCTTCTTGGCCGTCGCCATCTCGGCCGCGTGTTTCTTCCGCCACTTGGTCCTCCGGTTCTGGAACCAAACCTGCACAAGGGCGCGGAGAGAGCAAGAGAAACGAGGTAAAGCAAGAGACCCAGTTTCCCCCCCTCGCGAGGCCCCCCGAGTTCCGTTTAGACGCAGTTTTTAGTTCGATCCGGATTAACGAATCCGGAGTGATCGGCTCGATGGCTCCGTCATCCGCTGATGCGAATTTAAACCTGCTTCTCACGTTCTCAACCAGGCAGGAAGGAGGGGATCTGGCCTCAACAAAGACTCCGGCATATGCACTCTTAATCCGGATTAATCCATTAATCCGGGGTGACTCGCAACTCTGAGTTCTGTGCTCACCTGTCAACAGGTTAAAGTGGTAATACCTAAATTCCTGGGAACAAGCCCCATTCAGCTCAGTGGAACTTAATTCGAATAGACTTGAGAAAGGAAGGGTGAGTGTGAAACTTGCCTAGCTTCTCCCTAAGCCACACACAACACCTCACTTTCGAAATTCCTGACTGAGCATCATCTGCATAAAACTGCAGCCTCTAATTATGGAATGGCTAGTTCAACTAGTTTGTATCAATGGCGCAGTTAGGCAAGTTTACACTTTGAACTTGATGGTCTCACTAGGATGGTAAAATAGAATTATAGCATTGTAGAGTTGGAAGGGAGGGTCGAGGGTCATCTAGTCCAAACCCCTGCAATGCCCAATGTGGGGCTCAAACCACAACTCTGAGATTAAGTCTCAAACTCTACCGACTGAGCTATCCAGTCTGCGTTACTTCGAAATGTGGCAAGTCAATTGTGTAGACGTACTCATCCCAAGTAGCACCCTGAACTTCTGCCCCAAAGTCCTGCCCTAATGGGGACCACCCTGCCTTTCTCCCAATGGAAGTTCAAGACAGCTTACACAGGGCTCCCTCCAGCTCTCCTTAGCTACAGCAAGACCATATTGCCTTCAGACGATCGTGACAATATTGCTTTCAGTCGTTCGCCACCTGCGCCCTTGTTAATTAATCCAAATAATTTAAGATTCCATGCTAAAAACCACCAGTGCATACGAGTATCCCCATTGTACTAAAAAGCACATGTGGAAAAAAACCCAGCATACGCATCCTGATTAAAGGAAATTAAGTACCAACATTTATATGCAAAGTGAAGTAGTGTATGCTCCCTGGTTTTGTATGTAATGGACATTGAGATTAGAATTCTGTTTCATCTAGATTCTACAGGAACACCCTGCCTGTACCTGGCAAACTGGTAAAAGGGTTTAAATAACGCTTTGTACCCATAGATCTGTGCTCCCCTCAAATATACCTCCTTCTTGAAATTATTCTGTATTAGTTTTAATAATTCCATAATCCCGCAACGACTGGAGGGCATTGTACTAGCTACCTTATAGCACTGGCAACAGCTGCTTCTACAAACTATTAGCTTCCAAACGACCAGTATCTCAGTAAAGACCATGTGCTTAGATCTGAAGCCGATTTGGTTAAAAATTAATAATCATCATCTGTGGGGCCAATAACCAACCTAGTTAAAAGAAAGCAAGGCAACCCTCCACAGCAGGATCATAAATCCACTTCTTTGGAAGTCAGTGCTAATGAAAGTGATAGGGTTTACTCTTGAGTTTGTTGCTTGCAGTCGTAAGTGATTCCAGCCCAAGAGTCTAAGCCACTAGAACAGGGGTCAGCAAACTTTTTCAGCAGGGGGCCGGTCCACTGTCCCTCAGACCTTGTGGGGGGCCGGACTATATTTTTTTTGGGGGGATGAATGAATTCCTATGCCCGACAAATAACCCAGAGATGCATTTTAAATAAAAGCACACCTTCTACTCATGTAAAAACACCAGGCAGGCCCCACAAATAACCCAGAGATGCATTTTAAATAAAAGCACACATTCTACTCATGTAAAAACACGCTGATTCCCGGACCGTCCACGGGCTGGATTTAGAAGGCGATTGGGCCGGATCCGGCCCCCGCGGCTTAGTTTCCCTCCCCATGCACTAGAAGTTCTCCTGTGTGAGCCTTGCTGAAATGAATGGGAGCTGAGAAGAGTAGGACCCTTGCCTAGTTCTCATTCATTCCCATGCACCATGGGAAATGTGCAGAAGGACTTGGCTGTATCAATATCCCCTACCCCATCTCTTGAGGTCCTCAGAGAAGCCTGTGTGCCTTGCCACTCAGAACAGCGGAGGAATATTCCAGGCAGCAGGCAGGTGGCGGGGCAGGTTCCTAGCCACTCTGAGTCAGAGTGGAGGGGCACGATTTTTGCACCCCCTGGGCCTGTGCCCTGGTGGGTGCCAACCTAGTCAACCCCTAGGGATGACCCTGCCCCTTTGAACAAATCAACTTAAACTGGGGAGTGGTAGAGACCATGTTGTACATATACAAGGTCCCATGTTCAATGCCCAGTGTCTTCAGGGAGGACTGGGAAAGACTTGACGCCTGAAACACTGGAGAGATGTTCTACTCATCGTAGACAGCCCTGAGTTATAAGGCCCAGTGGCCTGACTTGTTATAAGGAACCTTCTTATGCGGTAACCCAAAGTTGCTTTTGCTGTTGTTTAATTGTGCAATCTTTCATCATAAAGGTATGATGAAAAGTTAGCCCCATTTTGCCTACTGATCATATAAAGAGCGCCAATTTCAATTGTTTCTGGTGCACTTGGTTAAATTCATTTGTCTATGTTTTTGTTCTGAATATATTTTTTATTAAATATTCTTCTTGGCTAACAATAGTACAAATAAAGTCTCTTTTTTCAAGTCCGTTAAATTCCCTTGGTCGGTTTAAAAGAAAGGAGATTTTTTAAAAAAATGATTGTCAAAACAAATATTACAGAAACTGTGTGTGGCATGTGTGATACTAAGAGAGGCCTTCTCCACCCTCTCACACACAAACACACATTTGAAGGAAACTGCTCTTCTAAGTTGTTACCGGTTGCAACATTTGCAAGCATTGTGGAAAAGCCATTGAGTCAGGTCTTAATATATCTCTTTGCTGGAGATGCTACATTTAGCTCTCGCTTCCAGATGATTTGGACATGATCCACTCACACCTGCTTCTCTGGAAGACCCTGTAAAAATGAATGGGAGGACAACGAATGGCATCCACTATTGGAGGTGGCATCTGGGCAAGGTTTGAGGGGCAGTCATGCAGGTTGGACATACAACATGTTGTAGTAAGTTGACTGTGATGCCTCTAGTGGTGAACACTTAGCAATGGATTTAGGCAGCCGAAATGGGACACTTGTGAATGATGTGTAGTTTCCAGAACAGACATACATCACTCTAAAACTCGATGACCAACTATGAATTGGCTATGTTACCCTTATGACAATAATTTGTTGAGCAATATCCCTGGGAGATCTGCATTGGCTCCCAGTACGTTCCCGAGCACAATTCAAAGTGTTGGTGCTGACCTTTAAAGCCCTAAACAGCCTCGGTACAGTATACCTGAAGGAGCGTCTCCACCCCCATCGTTCAGCCCGGACACTGAAATCCAGCGCCAAGGGCCTTCTGGCGGTTCCCTCATTGAGAGAAGTGAGGTTACAGGGAACCAGGCCTTCTTGGTAGTGGCGCCTGCCCTGTGGAACGCCCTCCCTTCAGATGTGAAGGAAATAAGTAGCTATCTTATCTTTAAAAGACATCTGAAGGCAGCCCTATTTAGGGAAGTTTTTAATATTTAATTCTGTTTTGTTTTTAACACTTGATTGGACGCGCCCAGAGTGGTTGGGGAAACTCAGCTAGATGGGTGGGGTATAAATAAATTATTATTATTATTATTATTAAGCTTTTTTTAAAAAAAACAAACAAACAACCAAGCAGCTCTTGGTCATGTTCATGAACTTACTGTTAACTAATCTGTTATTTTAAGATCATCTGCAAACTTACTGCAGTAAATGAGGATACAAATACGGTAACAAGCCCAGGGCCCCACTTAGCAGATGGAGCCAGAAAGTCAAACATGCATATGGTCTGAATTATCACATTTTTAAAATAAATGGAAAAACACACATCATCCTCTAAACCTTAGGTTCTCAGGAGTCCATCCACTCCCCACCCAATAAGACAATTCAGTCCAGAGTCTTGCATTACCTTCCCAATTGCACTACTGCCTCCCATTCATTTCAGCGAGGTTTGCCCAAGGGAGTTTGCCAGTAGACAGGACTGTGCCCCTTTTCCTGCCAGTTGTAAGTGGCACTGTGAACTAACACTACCAAGCAACCGCTGTTAGGTCTCACCCAGTGTCATGATCGCATGGCTAGTACCGTTAGAGCAGCAATCCTGCAGTCTAAATGCACTTCCTCCATCCAACAAGGCAGATCCGTTTGCAGAAGGATTCTTAGGCATGCATGAGCAATACAGAGCAGATGTGCCTCTGCATGGCTATCCTCATGTGCATCACAGTGTGAATTCACTGGATGTCTTCTGATACGCGTGTGGGTCCCCATTCAGAGCTACTAACTTTAAAACCGAGTAGTCCTGGGAGTCCCGTTGGAATCAGTGGAACTTCCCAAGTAAATGAGGTCAAGATGCCACCGGGCATCCCAATTTTATTGCTGCCACGAGTGATATTTTGGACTAATAGTCCAAATTGACTTTCCATATCCATATCACAGTGTGCACTGATATTTTAGCATTCTTTAATTACTGGCGTTCCTACCGCTGCAAATAAATCCCCTATTAAAAACACAAATGAATAATAGTAATTTTGATAGCTGCAGCATAGTTACTCTCACTGCCAGCTTTCAAAAGCTTTTCAGCATATGATTCCCATCAGTGTTAACAATTATATCAATAATTGCTATCTGTTCCATGATTATTGTGACCACCGCAAAGCTATTGTAATTGCTGCCACGGAAATTATAACATTCGCTTACTTACTCACTTAGCAATCAGGACAGACATATTCATTTATTGTTGCTGTTCTACATAAGAACAATTGCTTCTTCAAAGACCAAGGAGCTTTCGCAAGATAGAGTTATTATTAAGAAGGCAAATATTAGCATAATGTGATCGCCAATGCAGTTACAGCAGAAGTCATGTTGATGTGTTGGAGTGATTTATTGCATAAAACGGTGTGAGTGCTTAATATAAGTACTTCTCAGTGCTTTCATTGTGGTTATGTTAGGGAGACCAGATTAACCTCCTAGTTTTTGTACCCTTCTGCAATCCTGCAGTCCTATGCATTACTACTACTACTGTGATTTACTTCTGAGTAAACAGTAAGTCACACTACATTCTTTCCTTATTTTGCCTGCCCCATTCCTTCCATTCCTTTCACCCCACACCACCCTCCTGGCAAAATTTAAACTGTAGGCTTCTCGGGGCAGAGAACTGCACTGCCAATTTTTTCTTTGGCCTACTTGCCCTGTAAAGTGCCATGGGCATTGGTTGTGCTGTATGTAAATTGTGACAACAACCATTAACATAATCTAGCTGACGTTCTGAGGACCTTTAAGTGCCACTGATTCGAATAGCAGAGGTGAGGATTTGCTTGACTCTCTTCTATTCAAATCAATGGCATGCAAAAGTATTTAACCGTGGCTGGATGGTGCCCAGAAATAGCATGTTTATGTCTGGAGCTAAGGAGCTTTTCCTCACCCTGATGCACTAACATCTTCATTAAAGTCTCTGCTCCCTATACCTTTGTTTCATTCTTTGACATTTTGTCCAAAGGAGCACCCAGAGCTGGGCTGTCTGCCTGCACAAATGATGCTTAACTCCTGTTGAAGACAGTGGGAGTTAAGCAGTCCAGCTGCGGCAGGATTGTCATAAACAAGCAAATGTTGATCTGTGCACTAAAACAAGCTTTTGCATAATAATATGTAGGTTGCCTCTCATTTTTGTACTTTTTATTTTCTGCTAAAGTCCACACACCACTTCTTCTTTCTTCTCCCTTATTTGCTTTACTACTGTCTCTCTATCTTTTTGATTATTTGCTTTCCCTCCCCTCCAGACTAAAATGAAAATATACCAAGCTGCACTGCACTCCCCTCTCCCCAATCTGTCACACCAAAATATGCGCATCCTCATTTGTTATTGCTTTCCTTAAGGGTAATTCAAAGGGAAAGCTCTCCTCCTTCTTAGGTCTATAAATCCCTGGCACCGGGTGGTTTGAAAGAAGGGTACTCAAGTAGACTGTGCTAAAAGTAACCATTGCAACTCCCCCTGACACCCCCGCTCTACAATTAATATCTTTACACTCCCCCCCCCAAAGGCAGGACTGTTGTTCTTTTAGATCTAACTACATTTGTACAAATGACCCTGTCTTAAGGGAACTTCTGTGGATTGAACTCAATGAGGCTGCCTCCGTTTCCAGTCCAGAAAGAATTGCTCACACTATGTTGTGAAGGGTTACTTGGGAGTAAATCTTACAATCCTATGCACATATGTTCTGTGCATGAACTCAGAAGTAAGCCCAGCTGATTGCAATGGAACTTGTTTCCAGGTGAAAGTGCATAAAATGATAGCCTTACTTGGGAGCAAGCCTCATAAGACCTAATATTATCTCCTTCGGATTAGATATGTATAGGATTGGGCTCCACGTCTCTCTGAAATCAATGGGACACTTTTATCTAGTCCAGGAGATTATAAACACATTTGGCTGAGGAAAAAGTTAGTGCTGCTCAACTTCTGTTCGAATCAATGAGATCTAAATGAATCCTGCGGGTTTTTCTCTGGGAAAAATGGGTCCATAAGAGCTTTGATGTACAACAAATACATTCCATCACCTCTAATAAGACATCTCTCTAATAATACATCTATCTGCTCAGAAAATTAGGAAAGTAGCCTTAAGAAAGATACATGGCAAGAGAAAAATATTTTTGTATTAATAATAATAATAATAATAATAATAATAATAATTCCCCATAACTGCACGGTCATGTTCACAATACACATTTGATGCACAGTACAACTTTTCCCCCTCCCCAAACTCACTGCAATAAATAGATGGGGCTTCTGCTCCTAGTATATACAAGTACTACAGTAATTTATTCACGGTCTTCCCCATATATTTACAGTGACAAATGAGGGTCTCTAGATAACTTCAGGAAGAAGAGACAATCTATAAAGGAACACACACACACACACACACACACACACACACACACACTCTTTGAACACGAATACACGCGCGCACACACACACACACACGCATCCAATCTGTTAAACTACATTTGTTCCAAACGTTGTCTGGAGAATTTTCCCTTTGGAAAAAGGGGTGGCGAGAGTTGAGGGGTAGTGGAACCCTACAAATACACTGTACTCGCATTACAGTCACCCTCTGCGACAAGGCATCTACTCGTTTTCCCTTGATATAACCACAATCGAGGGAGAGGTGGAGGGAGGCCTTCGTGGGCTCTCAAACTACTTTTTATTCTTGCTAATTCTGCTAATTCAAAGGAATGGATCTCTATGGCTCAAACGAAGGGCTCTGGGGTTCCAGACACGTGCTAAAATAATTCTAAAAATCCAAATCAGCCTGGGAGAGAAGCCACACGCAACCAAACTTTGCGACCATTACAGTGCGGCCCTACACGTGTCTACTCAGAAGTAAGCCCCACCCAGTTCAACGGACTATAGGATTGTAGCTTTAATAGTCCTCCAGTACAATCCTATACATATTTACTAGGAAATAAATCCCTATGAGGGTTCATCCGAAAATACAGGATTGTCATTTTACTGATGTAGCTGGAGCCCTCGCTTCATTTTCCTGTTCCTTTTATGGATCTACATAGAATGCTGCGTATAAATGCATAATTATGTATAAAATACAGGCTTTTGAATGCAGTCTCAGGATCACTTTTTTTCTATGTAAGAACCACAACCCAATCACTCAGCATTTAAAATTGTTGCCTTACAGCTGAATACTAGATGTTGCTGGCATTTTAATATAGTTTTGTGGCTCCAAATAGACCATGGGGAGGGGGGGGACTTCTGGCCCACGGACCTAATTAATCTAATAATATAGAATAACCCATTTATTATGGCATCAGCTTGGGGTTTCTGGAGTCCATCTATGCATCTGACTGAAGTGGACTTTGGTCCAGGAAAGCATATCCTATAATAAAGTCCAAGGCGTCCCAATATTCTTTGGTTGTTTCTCCTGGAAAAGACTTCGCGCGGCTACCCCTGTCTAATAAATACGTGCTAGGTGCAAAAACCACCACCGTCCAACTGGTGTCAGTGGCAAAACTACCCTTTGATTTAATGCCCCTGGACGGAGCTCCGAATCCAAAGTGATCGCCTTATATGACTGCAGTCATTAGTGCTGTATTGAAAGCAGTACTAAATTAGCTGCTTCAATCCACACACCGGAGCAGCTTCGTGGACTCCCACCGCGAGTGACGTGAGGTTCACTGGACTTGGGCGAAACTTAGTTCCCAGAAATTGTTCCTCTTAATGACCTCCTCACTTAAATAGTCACCTTCCGGTGGGAGGTCACTCTATCGAAATTCCTTTTTCTAAAAAAAAGTCTCCTTTCAGCTCCCTTGCAGACCCGACCCCTTTATCCACGGTGGCATCTACTCACGAGTAAATGCATTCAAGAGCGGGACGCCTATACTCTTTTCAATAGTTCTCAACGGTGTTTGGGATCGTGGTCCTTAAAAAAAAAAGAAATTCTCCCCTTAACGGTAGGATATTAACCCCACTTCTCCCCAAGTCATAAATATATTTCCATAAAAATATTTAGTTGGCCTTTTCTCCCAAAACATAACACGATCCAGAACAACTTTTATTTTATTTTATTTTATTTTTCGGAAGGGCAGAAGTTCTTTCATTTTATTACAACTTATTTCCGAAGTAAGAGATGGGCAAGAATGTTAACAAGCTGAGGAGGGAGAGGATCATTGGAAATATAAGAACATTTAGTCTTCTATTTCCTTCATTTTTGTGGGGGTACTGAAATAGCACAAACTGCAAACAAATAGGTAAAAAATTTAGTTGCGGGCCAGTTTGTAAACTCAACATGGCTATAATTATAATTAGCAAGTATATTAAATAATAATAATAATAATAATAATAATAAATCATTAACGAAAAAGCTGTACCTTACTCTTATGTATAATTATCTAAAGCTGCAAATTAGGAAAAACAGCTTAGAATTTATATTTATATTTCCCCCTGTCTTTCAAAACCCGTGCGGCAGCAACAATGCGGTAACGAAAGGCACGCGCGCGGCCCCTCTACCCATTGCAAGATGAAAGCGATATGGAGGGCACGCGCCCGATCCCTTTTGTTCATCCATATCTCCCTCTTATCGGCCGCATTTTAACACTCTCCCGACCAGATTGAGCAGTGGCTGGGGCGGGGGAGACGGGGAGGGAGTAGGGAGGAGCGGGGGCGCGCGCGCAGAGATCGGCTCTTATCTGACCTGCTACTCTCACCTTCACTTGGCTTTCGGTCATCCCCAGCGAATAGGCGAGCCTCGCCCGTTCCGGCCCGGCTAAGTATTTCGTTTGCTCAAAAGTCTTTTCCAAAGCGAAAATCTGCTGGCCGGAAAACGTCGGTCTTGTGTGCTTCCTTTTGCCGTCTTTATCCAGCAAAATCGAGCCTTGATCTAGAGGGAAGGGTCCGCAGGAGGGGAGGGGAGGGAGGAAGGTATATATGGAGATATTTATTATTATTTGTTATTTTCAAAGCAATGGACATAAATGTATACGCGCGCTTGACAGTCCCTCTGAGTGGTGCGGCACATATGTATTTAAAATCCTTCTTAGGGGAATTTCCGCGATGAAAAACTGCCCTCTTTGAAGAAACTGCGACGGTTTGGGGCATCCTGGATTTTACAAACAGGTGCAAATCCGAAATGGTTTAGGCATCGCATATGCTTCGGAGAAAGTTATGCAGACACACAGAGAGGGAGACGCAATTTATCGTTGTTCACCTTTCTGAAAACAACGTCCATTCCGCCTCCAAGTCTGATATTTAGGTTTCGAAAGTACTCCAAGGAAATTAAATGTTAACTCAAAACGATTAACTTTAAAAGATCAGGAGGATAGGGCATCTGAAGTACTCCACAGAACAACAAGCGTTTCGTTAACATTTTTTCGCCCCTGCTTGCGAAACCAGAAGGTTCGCTCCTGTATCAAAGATTCCTCCCCAAAAGCAGAGGATTTTATTTTTTAAAAATCAAGCCGCCCATTTTCAATAGCGCAAGCTCCTCAAAGCCATGAAAGAAAGGGAAAACCCAAACAAGCAAGTAGCAGTCTTACACAGCTGAGTTAACCTTGTTTACTCAAGAGTAAACCCAACTGATTTGAATACTCCCCAGTAGCTCTGCATTCAACTGCAACTCAAGTCGTTTGTTTAAGAAACAAGGAGGCTTAATTTGCCACTCGCATTTCCTCTGAGAAAGGGCCAAAACGAATAACTAAAACTTTCCACGTTTTTCTTTCTTCCTTGCAGTCTAGATTTAGGGGGGAATGGGGTGACAGGTCGCCTTTAACCCTGTTGCTGAGATCCCATGCGCCTAACCTGGGAGTAAGACCCGCTAAACACTCTGGGAGTTACTTCCGAGTAGGATTGGGGCGCGCAGGGAAAACAAGCCGCTAGGCTGGAGTTTAAAGTGCGGAAAGGGGAAATGATCGTGCTTGCGGCAAATGTATCTTTTTAAAAATAAACCAAATTGTTGATTTATTTTGCAAGAAGCAAAAATGTCCAGCGCGTCAGCAGAGGCAGGACGGACGCATCCTCAGAACCGCTGGGGGTAAACAGAGAAGCAACGCGGCGAGTCAAATACTACTGCAGAAGCAGACAAAAATCGCCGCGGCGGGCGAAGCTCCCTTGAACAGCTACTATTTCTGCAGCGGAGGGGGGGGGCAGGAGCGTCCAAAACCTTGCTCTTGCAGCACGGCCCTGTGCATGCATGTTTACTTGGTGCAAAAACAAAAGCAAAACAAAAAAAATACCCACCCTGCAGTTTTAAAAAGCCGTCCCTCAAAAGTGCGGAAGAGTTACTCTTGTGGCTCCGAGGTTGCGGTATCAGTTAAGCGGATTGCCTTGCAAAACCGAAGTCTACCTCTAAAGTACTGCTGGAGTGGAAATGGACTAGAGGGCATTTATTTGCTACTTAAAACCTGTTTGTCCCGGTAGTAACTATGTAGAGCAACTGCGTCTCAAACTCCTGTAACCCCGCAGAGAACATGCCAGGGATGAGAGCAGCAGGTGCCCCTTACCTGAACTGTCCCCGGGACCTTGTAAACAAATGCGTGTCGTTTTGCAGTTTAGGGACAAGGCCGTGTCAAGGAAGCATGGGTCTCAAACACTGCATGGATGAGTGTGTGGGAGCAGGTGGGAAGTGGAGAGGCAGTGCGCCATATCCTCCCGGCTTAAACTACCCCGTCGCTGCTTATCCAGCCCAGCTCTCCAATTCCGGGCGCAAAGGCTGGTGGCCAGAGCACAACAGCCCGTTGCCCAAGGAAGAGGACCTTTGGAGATGACTGGGTTGAAGGCCAAATGACTGAGGGTCTCGGTACCCAATGGAGACATCTGGGAAGGGCTAGAGGAAATTGATGGGCGGCGAAAGAGGGCCCTAGAGGTCAACGGAGTCCTTCAGTGGGCATATTTTGCGCGTAACAGCCACTGTGGGTAACCCTGGAGATTTTGATCGAGCGTCTCTCTCTCTGTGACTTTGTCCCCATCCCATCCCGGGGGCCCGTGCCTGGGGGACGGGGTTGTGAGGGCTGCGGTGTCCAAGGAACCACATGGAGACTTAGTATCCCCGTGCCCGGGAGGCCGCAGTGCCTAGTGGTAAGGGCTGCAGCTGGCGGAGACGGCTAGCTCGGGGTGCGCACTGCGCGCAGTTTTGTGAAATGGTTCTGGCGTTGGGGAAAGAGGGTCCCCGTGGGCAGGAAAGCCCCTTGAACCCCTCGGAGCTACTTACGCGGCGTGCAGGCGAGTCTCGCGTCCCTCCAAGGCGGGCTCTGCATCACCCCTGGCCAAAAGATGGGGGTCCTGCCGGGCAGCTCGGCCAGGGGTTTGGGGTAGCGCCCCACGGCGGCCACGGCGGCGGCGGCGCTGGGGCTGAAGTAGAGGCCCGGCGGGGGCGGCGGGGGACTGAGGCTGCTGAAGCGAGGCAGCCCCGCCAGGAGGCCGGCGGCCGGCGAGGCGGACGTCGAGGAGGCCACCGAGGAGGAGGAGGCGGCGGCCGAGGAGACGGCGAGGGCGGGCATGGACGGCCGGCTGAGGATGTCGTTGATGCCGTGCGGGGTGGCGGCGGAGAGCTGCTGCGGGGGGGAGCCCAGCGCCGACAGGGCCCCCGCGCTGTGGGGCTTGAGGCCGGCCGGCGTCGGGGAGACTAGCGGCGGCGAGGGAGAGGCCGAGGCCGAGGAAGACGACGACGAGGAAGAGGAGGAACAGGACAAGGACGAGGGTCCACTGGGAACAGCCGAGCCTGCTGTGGGGGGTGGCAGCGGGTAGGCCGCGGCGGGGTACAGAGGGGTCTTCATCTCGGCCATGCTGTGCAAGGCGGCCAAGGGGGGGCTGCTGAGCAGGAAGGCGCTCTGCCGGGGGGTGCCATCCATTTGCCCCACCGCCAGCATCCCCGGGCCGGGCGGCCTCCCAGGGGCTGCACCGAGACGACCCCCTGCGCTCTCGGAAGGCCGGACGTCTGGGATTCGGACGGCGGAGGTGGGGACAGAACAGGGGGTTCCTCCTATTGGGGGCGGAGGAGGGAACCAGGGAGAAGGGGGTGGGACTGACCAGCCCCCCTAAAACTGCGGGAAGGGAGGGGGATGTTCCGCTGTTGGAAGGGAAGGGGAGAAGGAAGAGGGCCTGATTCTCGGGGTACTGTGGAAACGAGGACGCCCTGGTGTTGGGGTGCAGGGGCAATTTGTTCCTTGAGATTCGGGTACAAGGAAGGGAGGCTGTCTGGACTGTGGGTGTTCCCTGCTCTGGGTCTGAGCAGCGTCCCGATTTGGGGGTTCAGGCCGCCTTCCAGAGTTTTCAGAAAAGGCAGAAGGCGGAGCGGGGCGCGGGGAGCAGTCCTAGTTCTGCGAAAGCAGGATGAATCTTCCTGCTACTAGGGGAGGAGAGAGAGGTCCCTGGTCTGTGGGCGCTTTGAAAAGGGGGTTCCCTGATCTGGAAGGGTTGGGAGAGCTGGGAATACGCTCGAAAAAATACACTGGGAGGTCTCCAGAACCTGGGGTCTCAGAGCAGAGAGTGGGTTGTCTGTGGGAGCCCAAGGTTTAGATCTCGGGGTCGTTCAGGAGCTGAGACAGAGATTCCAGCCTTGTTTCTTCCGAAAGAGGGGAGATTCGGGGTGCCCTGTGGTACAGCCACTGGGGGAGAGCAGTGTTGGGGGCCGCTGTTCTGAAAAATGAAACTAAACCCCAGCCAAAGAAGATTATGCTGATAAAAAACAGAGGAAGGATTGGAGAGCAGAAAATCTCAGGCTACTGCGAACAGTAGCCCTAAGTGGGAGGGGGGGTCTATCCTGATCTAAGGGTATCTAATGATTGGTGTCCTCTCTTAAGAGGGTGGGTGTTTGTAAGCGGCCCCCTTCTAGGAGCGGGGGTGGGGCGGGTGCGCAGAGAGAGAGAGTGTCTTGCTTTGGGAAGCTGGGAGACTGCAGAAGTTTTTAGGGGAGAGTTCAGGGATGCTACGACGCCTGCTGGGAAAGGTAAAAGTCCTTCAGTATTTAAAGTCCTTCTTTCGCTGCTTCGTCGGGGAGGGGGCTGGAGAATTGCGCTGAACTGAGCTTTTAAAAAATAAAAAAATGGGGGTTGGTGGGGGCGGGGTGGAGAAGAAGAACCGCCAAGTCTTTTGCCGCCACAAAACAAAACAAAAATCACCGTCCTGGAGCGGGGGTGGGAGAGAAGGAGTCGGGGAGGAAGGAAGAAATGCACATTCACTTGCAAAGAGCAGATCAAGACGCGGCTGCAGTTCCGACCGAGGCGAAGGCTGTGGTTCCCGGCGCTTGCAGGCCGGCGGGCGAGCTGGACGGCGGGGACTCCCGGCCTTCGCCTCTCGGCGGCTGGAGGACGAGGAGGAGCAGAACTTCAGTGGATCCTGGGAGCCGGTCCTCTTGGCCTCGGCATGCTCCTGCCTCCGAGTCCGAAAGGGATCTCCTGCTGGCTCTCTCCTCCCGCCCGGCCTGGGGCTCCGAGCGCGGCTGCCTGCGGAGAAGAGCTCCCTGTTCCCGGGACATGGACGGATTTTGTAGCTTCGCTCCTCTGGCCGTCTAAACGCCAGGAGAAGGTCCGGGTGCGCTCTTCTTTCCTCGCCGCTCCGCGAGCATCGCTGGACTGGGTCTAGCTTTTACTCCTCGGCCGCCTCATCCTTTTTAAAAATAAAAATCGCGACCACCTTTTTTCTCTCTCCCTTCTTGAATCTGCTTTTGCCGGGCTGGGATTTCGGCGCGTCTTGCTCTCGTCGCTTCTCCTCGCTTCTCAATCTCTCTTCCTCGGGTCTGACAGATCAAGACGCAGCCCCTCCAAGGCAATAAAACATTTTCATCACTCTCCCGGTCTGCTTTCGCTATAAAGGGGGCACGACAAGAACTTTGGAGAGGCGTCAATAAAAGAGGCAGCGGAAGGAGGGGCAGAGGCGGGCACCAGCCTCCTCCCTATAGGACCTGCCTCCTTTATGGGGGGGTGGGGGTGGGGGGAGGAATCTGGAGAGAGAGGCAGGGAGATGCGGCCAGCCCAGCCCTCCCTCCCTCGATAAGGGGCGGCGCCGGCCAAAGGCGCTCATTTGCATATTGAGCGCGGACCCTGTTAAGTTGGAGCTCCGGAGAAGACTCGGAAGGAAAGCGCGCGCAGGGGGTGGGCGGGTTGATTGGTTGGGGAGGAAAAAGAGGAGAAGAAAGCGCGTCCGCGTCAAATAAATCTGAGGATTTGCAGCACGTAAAAAATCATTGGGGAAAAAAAATAACGAAGAAGAACCTGTGTGGATCCTTTGCTTTCTTAAAAATAAAAAAAAGTCACGCATCAGATCCCAAGGAGGCCCGCGTCTGGTTCTCGGCGACCTCTTTTGAAAGGCTGATTAAGTACCATATGGACCATCGTCCCGAGTATTGTGTAAATGAATGTGATGCTCCTTAAACAAACCTATAGAGATGCTGGAAACCCCGCTCCGCCTCTCTCTCTCTTTCTCGGCTGAGCCGGGCAGTAAAGCAACCCCCTCCTTCTGCCAGCCCTTTCCCCGCTCTCTTGTTTTACTTCTCGTCTGTTTAAATGGGTTGCGTCTGTCTGTCCGTCTGTCTGTCGGGTGTGTGTGTGTGCCATCATATTAAAACCAGCTCGTCCAATCCTAACTGGAAGCCAACTTGCCTGGTCGTATATTGCAGTAAGGCAAAGGCAGGCGTAAATGAGTTTTTTTTTAAATTTGGGGTGTGTGTAGTTCCCCTGGATCCTTGTTGCTCTCCAAGTTTCCTTTCTCCCCCCCCCCTTAACCCCACCATTTCCTTTCTCCACGTTTTCCCGAACAGGAACCCAGCATAAGAAGGGCGAGGAGGTTTTTGAAAGTCATACAAGCTCCGGTGCCACAGACACAGCAAGGAAGGCAGACGCAAGCAAGTGTTAGTTACCTGGGTTAGAGACTCAAACGCTGTTTTGGTGACTGATTATTATTTCTTTAAATTGGCGACTCCCTTCTCCCCTATTCACACACACATTTACTTGGATCCGACCAGAATATGAAGATATGGGGGGGGGGGGAGAACCGTATATTTTTAATATGACGAACCCATCCACCCCCAACACACGCGCGGATCAGAACGTAATATGGAGACATCACTGGAGAATTTGTATATATTTAACATGACGGACCCCCCCCCAAAAAAAACCCCACACTCGTTCACACACACGAGAACGCTTGCTAAGGTCACCCCAGAATATAAAGATCTCACCAAAGAATCCGAATAATTAAATACTTCATTTGGGGTGGAGAATTATTTTCTAAGCCAACAGTGAACAAGCCACCATGTCAATCAATTCCTCATCCCATGCCCTAAAACAAATCCCTGCCGCCATCCCAGAAACGCCTATAGAAACTAATACGCTGCGTGCTGTAAAACTTGGGGCCTCCTGTCCACGTTCGCTTCTTTTGGAAGCCGCGTTGGTTTCAAAGGGGAAGAGTTTATAAACAGCAGCAGCATTCCGCATTCTCAATGGAAGCGACGCGCAGAACTTCGCAAGGATTGCGCCTTTTTCGGTTCATGAGCGCCTCGACGTTCATCTGAGGATGGTATGGCCTTGGTTCTTAGCAAATATCTATTCCGAGGGTTGTATAAATTGCACGGGTTGTTTGTTGCTATTGTTGTTGTCGTTGTTGCTGCTGCTGTTCGAGCTTTTCAAACTTTCAAAAGCCAGCCGGAGAAAGCGACGCTATCCCCATCAAAAAGCGTTTAGGAGCTTCGCCCCACATGAATAGGCGTAGTACTCGATTTGAGAACGCGACACTCTGTTTTACCAGTGATCTTAGCGGAATGTATGTGTGTGTGTTGGATTTTATGCTTGCTTTTGGGTCGTTTCGTGAGCGCGTTTCATCCCTCCTGATATATTTCTCTGGTCAAAGAAACACGTCCCTTGCTAAAATGTCCCTTTAGCTCCCCAACAGTACAGGAAAGGATGAGCTGACTGCAAACACGCCCGGTAAAGTGCGGACCAGTAGCGAAAAGGACATAGAGGTGGACGTGGACCGGGCTGTGCCTTGGGGGTCGTTTTATTGCTTTTCTTTTTGTGGGACTGCGTTTAGTCGCCAACTAGGCCTGGTAGTAGTGGCCAGTTTAAACGAACAATCCCCGCCTCCTGTTTAGAGTAACATGGCGACTAGCTCCTAAACTTAACATTGTCTTGGAGACTCGCTAAAGCAGGAACTTAAGCCCGTTTCCGAAGCTTGGCAAAAACTTTGCGCTCTTTACGCAAACTTGTCTTTCGGTGGAGCAACGGATGTTTGTTCCTGATCAGATATATTTCTGTTTATTGCTTCCATTCTTATCCCGGCGCCTTTCCGTAAAGGAGCTCGGGGCCACAGAAAACGCACCCAATCTCACAACAACCCCGTGAGGTGGGCTAAACGGAGAGATGGCAACTAACCCAAGGGAACCTGAGTTTGCTGAGGAGTTAAACCTGACGCTACAACCGGGGTTTTGCCATATGTCCTCTTTTTCCAGGACACGTCCTCTTTTTCACGGGTATGTAAAAGGAGAGTCGTCACAGCGACCCATCGTTAAAGGCAGATGTTGGCAACTTTTTGCTCTTCAAAATACGGCAATCCTAAAATCCATTTCTAGGATTGGCGCCTCCCCACTCAACTCATTGACAGGGTTCCTCTCTCTTTTTTTGCTGCAGCAAAAATTCAACAGGTGAGGCTTTCAAGTTCCCATCCCTCCATCCTGGGAAAAATCCCCCCACCTGTGGAATTTCTGCCCAGCTATAAAGTCCTGTCACAACAAAGGCATGTTATCCTCTTCCTTACCACGCGCAGAGGATCGGAGGCGGAAGTGTTGGCCGTGACTTCTCGCAACCTCACCCCGTCGCTGTCTGAAACAGTAACGCCGACCCACCTATAGGGTCGGAGGCGGGGGTGGGATCAGAATAGCTCAGCGGCAGAGCACGTGCTTTGCATGCGGTAAAGTCCCCGGTTCGATCCCCGGCGCCTACTGTTCCAAAAGGAGCAAGTAGCAGCAGCAGCCGGATACAGGGAAAGCCCGAGGCCTCGGGGAAGTCAATTCTGAGATGGAGGAGCTACTAACCTGCCTACAAGGCGACTTATGGAAAACGCGCCGAACGCTCCGAAAGCGCCGCGTATAAGAAACGGGTTGTTTGGGGGCTGGCGCTGGTCTTCGTGGGAGGAAGTTGAACGGGATCTATTTTTCAGTGCAAGCGTCCAGTTTTCGGTATTGAGGCGGGCATGCGCTAGATTTTACCTTAAATCAAGTAAATAAATAAAAATACCTCACTAAAAGTAGAAATTGTAGAAAGGCTTTGATTTTTCTGAGCACTTGGGGGGGTCAAAGGAATAATTTAAAACAACTCTTGCTGAGATATTTCATTCCGAATCTGCTAGACAGAGCCTGACAGAGGAAGATGACAGATGCGTGTCCTGCCCCTGCCTTAACATAAATCATGGCTACGCCCATGGAGGCGGGCATTGAAACAAACAAACAAACAAACAAACAAACAAACTTCCCCTTTAATTCAGACATATGGAGGCAACGTTCCTTCCTTCCCGGGTGCAGAAAGAACTCACTTCCTAATTAGGGTCGCAGTCCCGATGCGGAAATTGCGCGTGTGTGCATTTGCTTCCAGAAAAACCTCTCGCCCTCGCAGGGCAACCTCTGTTCCCTAGAGCAGCGAGGTGGTCTTATCTGCCACTATCCACGCAGCCTTGCATTGCCTCTCCCGCTTCAACCGTAGCCTAATTCCGCCCAAAACCCTATTTCTTCCAGTGACAAGGGTGTTTAGGAGGTAAAAGGTTCAGGTCCAAAACCTTTTATTCTCCGCACATCTGCCAGGGACTGGGGGTGGTAAACTCCAAGGGGGGGGGTCGCTGCTTCTCCTTCCGCCGCCCCCCCCTCCCGCCCACCGCAACTTGAGCAGAGACGTCGCAGAGCGTCGACTTTCCCCCTTGGCTCACCATTCCCTATGGATAGGCAAAGTGTCGCAATTTGGAATTTGGGGTACTCCCTCTCTCCTTCCCTCTATCTGTGTAGACGGAGGTGGGGGATGTTTCAATCCTAATCCGGTTTTGGAAGGGAGTTGGAGGCTAAAGCACGGATATATAGAGGAAGCAGCAGCCGGACGCGCGAGAAAACGCAAATGTCGGAGGCGCAATTTTAAGCACAAATGTATTGCAAAACGCTGCGCTCCGGGTGTGTGTCTGTACGTGGGCGTCTGAATGGCGAGGCCCCCGCTCACCAGACGGAGGAGGAAAAAGGTTATTACTATTATCACAATTATTAGAGCGGACTCATCCCAGGGCAAGATCTTCAGCTCAGGCTCGGATCTCCAAGAAAAGATACACACGACATCCGGTTGAGCTCCGTGGCTACAGCACGAAGTCCAATGACTCCTTGCTTCTCCTTTTTGTTAAGCATGAGGGGGAGGGAATATTTTCCATCCCTCCCGAGTCCCAGAATTGCCCGGGGTAAAATAATAGTAATAATCATAATAATCGGACAGATCCGAGTTTTTCCCCCACCTCTCCTTTCTGGATCTGCACGGCCACTGCTTGCTCATATTCAGAGGCCTTGTTCACAAGACAGAGAGGGATAGCGCGGAGGAAAAGTTTAACAAGACGCCAGCAGACGAGTTGAGTATTTGCTAGCAGGTGGTTGGGCCGACAGATTTCCGAAGGGCGGCAGTTTGCATGTTAAAGCAACTGATTTGCATTTTAATTGGAGAAGAAAATGAAAATGAGGGTTTTTGGGGGGGTGGGGTGGGGGGAGACGTGGAGGCTGAACAGTTGCTGAAACCAGTGAGTAAATAAAGACTGATTAGATAGAGAGATAAATATATAATAGATCTCAGAGAG